AATAATAATAATTTATATATTATCAAGGGTTCATGAGGGAGGGAGAAGCGGGGAGGGAGGAGGGAAAATGAGGAGCTGATATCAAGAGCTCAAACAGAAAGCAAATGCTTTGAGAACGATGATGGCAACAAATGAACAAATGTGCTTGACACAATGGATGGATGGATGGATTGTGATAAGAGTTGTATGAGCCCCCAATAAAATGATTTAAAAAAAAAACTCAAGGCAAAAATTCCATGAGCTTTCTTTCTATTTTCCCACCAACATTCTGAAGTCCCCTGTAAGCTCATTGAAACTGACCTGACGAAGTGGGATGACCTCCCAAACGTTATCACCCGAATACTTGGATCCATCCCTCAAACCCTGGCCTCAACATCCAAATCAACACACCTTGCAGTCTTCTGCAAGGGGCTGCTAACTGCAAGGTGAGCAGTTTGAAACCACTAGTTGCCCCAAGGCAGAGCTTTCCACTCGCATAAAAAATCAGTCTTGGAAACCCACAGGGGTAGTTCTACCCTGTCCTATGGGCTGAGCCAGTGGCAGGGGATTTGGATGTCTGAGTTTGCTGCCCCAAGGATCACGTGCTGGGCAGCTAACCGGAGAGTCAACAGCTCGAAACTGCCCGTTGCTCCTCAGGAGAAAGACATGGCTTTCTTCTCTCGTAAAGAGCTACGGGCTGGGAACCTCAGTTCTACTGTCTTAGACAGTCATGATGAGGCAAAACTGACTTGGCAGTGAGTTTTGTGGCCCCCAGGAGCCCTGGTGGCCCTGTTGGGTCAGTACCTGGCTGCTCACCGCAAGGTCAGCAGTTCAAACCCAGCAGCCATTCTGCGGAACTCTCTGTAGAGTCTCTGAGAAAACAATCAACCCGCTGGCAGTGGGTTTGGTTTGGGTTTGGGTTTTGCTGCATCGAGACTCAAGTAATTATGTTGGAGTGAAGGCCCTCGGAACACCCCCGTGTAAATCTTATTAAGATACGAATCGAATTCTCAGTGCTTTACAACAACATCCTGTTGGCTTTTACGAGCTCTAGAGAAACTCTGGAGAAAATATAGTAGCATACTCTCTCTTTGCAGCTGTTTCCCTCAAATTCTAATCTGTAAAGGGCCTGTGTGCAAATCGATCCTTGCATTCTGTGCAGAGAAAGTTTCCCTCCTCAGGGAATTTGCTTGCTTTCTCTCGGGCATTGAGAGCAGGGTAGCATGGCATGTTTCGCCTTTGCCTTGCTGCCAGGCAGGTCCGTGAGCAGCAGATTGTCACCACTGTTTACACGGCGGCCCAGGTTCTTGGTTTTGCTTATTCCTCTTTCTCTCTCTTTTTAAATACTGTGTTAATTTTGAGAGCAACTTTGAATATT